GCTCTGAGCTGCTGAGTTATACAGCATGTATGCTCTGTAGGGCATAAGGGAGGGAGGCAGCAGAGGTATCTTGGGGATCAATCCTCTCCTGTTAAGAAGAAGGTTTGCCTTTCCAAAGCAATGAGCTCTGAGCTGCTGAGTTATACAGCATGTGTGCTCTGTAGGGCATGAGGGAGGGAGGCAGCAGAGGTATCTTGGAGATCAATCCTCTCCTGTTAAGAAGAAGGCTTGCTTTCCAAAGCAACATCCATGATGAGTCTGTTGTAGAGCTGACTGTTCACCCCGGCCACCGTCGCAAGGAATTTACCTTGTCCTGTTGTGCTGGTGAAGGGGTAAGGTGGCACTTGTAGCTAAGGCAGAATTACAGTTCTCAGTTCACTTGTGCTTTGAATGGTTTATCACAGACTGCCCTCATGCCAATGCTCTTGACTTTTCTGAAGAGCCTTCTGCTCTTTGTCCCTCTGCGCTTTCTCACTGGCTTGGTGAGCTATTGGTCTCTCTTATAAGTCTCAGTTGAAAATAGATTTTCCTTTCTGCTTTAAGAAATAATTCTGAATTGTTACTTCTACACTGGTATTCTGTTACAGAGTTTAAAGTGGGAGTGGCTTCTGCTTTAAAATAAAATAATTTTATAGGCAATTTATAGATTATTTTCCTCTAGATTCTAACGTAGTTTGGAAGCCCACCAAGGTTCCTGGGTTGAGTTGGGGCCTAGGACCATAGGAAAGAACAGAGAAACAAGAGGTCAGTGACTAACCGTCATTCCTCCAGACCCACCAAAGTCCTACTCAGGCACTTCCACAAGTGCTGGTCAGACACTGGGGTCCTGCAGCACTCCTGAAAACGCAGTATTTTAGAGCCAGCCCTTGGTGCTCTGCTGGCCACTTATTAATCAAGGGGATGGAATGCAATCTGCTGTGGTTTAGGGACGAGATCCTTCTTTGCACAGGTATGTCTGCCTGTGGCCACCCCTGCACCCAGTAACCTTTGAGTCAACTGACTGGTTTCAGCTCCCAGCTGGGCTGTAGCTCTTATGAGCGCTATGAAAGAGGGAAATCGGGTAGAGAGGTCCAAGCAGTTCCGATGTGATAGAAAGACTTTATTGTGCATATACACATTATTAGACACTAGAGAATCTCCGTGGGCAAAAGGTGTTCTGGAGGCCTCAGTATGAGAAGATCTTCACTGGAAGGTCACAGTCAGTGATGAAGTCTGGTGTCATTCCTTCCAGTGTTTGTACAGCTTCCCGAGATTTTGTGCACTGCAAGAGTAAGTCCTCAAATCTGTTTACTCTTTCCAATTTTGCAGATCCTTGACGAATGGTTTGGGCGGACGGTCATCTGCTCCTGCGTGAAGCTAAGCTACGACCACGCACAGAGTATGATTGAAAGCCCTGGGAAGGTGTTCTCACCTGAAGAGCTTCCCCCTGTCTCCCCTCAACATTCAATAGCCGAGATCCAGCAAGCTGTGCTGAACTTGCATCGAATCGCTCAGCATCTCCGCAAGCAGCGCTTCATCGACGGCGCTCTGCGCTTAGACCAGGTGAGTAAGCCCAGCCCCTGCAATGGGCTCCCGCTCCCGTGGACCAATTTCATGTTTTACTCCCTATGGATTTCCTGATCAGTCTAAAAACTCAAAGGGGAAAGTCAGAGCAGGTTTACTCCCTATGGATTTCCTGATCAGTCTGAAAACTCAAAGGGGAAAGTCAGACCAGAATAGAAAGGCAAGTTTGTGTGCCAATGTCTTCTTAAAAGTGGCATCAAATTATCTACCAAAAGCACTAAGTAAAGTAGGATCAAAAGAAAAAAGTTCCTGGCATCAAATTATCTACCAAAAGCACTAAGTAGGATCAAAAGAAAAAAGTTCCTGTTTTTTTAGTGAGTGAGCTATCTTTCAACATTTTTCAAAATCCTAAAACCCTGGTGGAGTGGGTAAGTAACTTACGCAGTGAAACAAATCATGGCGGTGTCATTCATTATCAAGCAGTTCAGATATCCTTAGTGCACATTTCACTGCGAAAGGCTCATCCTCCACATTTATTTCTGTGCTTGCAATACTCACATTTTCCGCAGCTTTCATAGCAGTTTTCTGGGCAGGGAAAATGACTAAATGTTATTTAAGCTAATACGTATGAGTGTTCAGTGTGTTTCGGAGAAAGAAATGCTAGCGAGGAGGTTTTCTGTCTGGGGCGATTTAAATAATCTTGTATCAGTTGTGGTACGTGTCATTTCTGTTTTATGAGTAGATCCAGATATTTTAGACTATGACAGTTTTTGTGGATAGGAGGTTCCAGTAATTTATAGAACCCAATGGCCTTCCTGAGTAGGAGACAAAATAATCTCTTAATATAAGGAAGCTCTATTGTTTCATTTTGCAAAATGAGCATGAGTCAGCGTAAGGATATTGCTGAGAAAGAAGCTAGCGTACCGAAATATGTAAACAGGACTACTGTATGTAAGAGGTGTGTTGTAACCCTTCCATTTTACTCGGTGTTGTAGTGTTGTCTCCAGTTGCCGGAAAGTCTAATTTTAGATAAATCATTGCAGAGCAACAAGAGCAAAGAGTGTCTGTAATCTGCAACCTCCCTTGACAGAGCACATGGCTTGGTCTGGCAAAGCTGCTGTGAAGAGGAGGCAGTGTGCTTTTCCCCATGTCTAAGATGACAATAAGACATCTGTATGATACATTTCAGTAGAGGAGATTGGGGTTATACTTTAGGATAAACTTTCTGGTGTAGGCATTGAGGTGTCTAAGGCTATCTTGCCTACATCGGTTGTAGGAGGACTTGGAGGACTGGTTAGGCACATGTGAGTGAGCCTGGAGCAAGGGCATTTGCTCAAGGTCCCTCCTTGCTCAAAGGAAACAGTCATTCTTAAAATTATATTCAAATATTTTTTGGAAATCAGACTCCCACTTTGAAGTCATGCAGAGTTTGCTTAAACCTCTTTTGGAACAGAGGCTTCCCTCTGTTTATCATACAATGGGTGATTGCTGGGCTTTTGTTCCCAAGCACTCTGAATACTAGAGAAACATAAAAAACCCCAGCCTTTGCACTTTGGGTTGACGAACTAATTGGGAAGCCTTGGAGATGTCTGGATTGGAACAACAGTCCCCAGTGACGGGGAGCTGTGGCCCAGAAAGGTCACCGGCTGCGTTCCACAAGCCACACTTACAGGGTAGTGCTGAGTGGTCACCGTATGTTCCTGACTTGGGTACCTGTTATCAGACTAACCTCAGGGAAAGTCTGTTTTAAAACCACTGTGACATTTGCAATGGGAGGATTTGGCCGGGGAAGCATCCTGTCCCAGTGGTACCCCAGGGAAGATTAGCCATGTTTGGCTTTGCTCTACGCTGTTACAGAGGAGCTGTTAAAGAGAACATATTGGAGCATCATTTGGGAGATCGGGGTTAAAGCCACTGCTAAAGGCACCAGAGGGGCTGATTCCTGCCCAGCCAGGTTCCTGGCCAACATGATAAACTGAATTATATCTCACAAGTGGCACTTTCTGCTGCACAGCATCTCTGTCCCCTGGGCAAGAGTGTCAGAGCCAAAGTAATGGTCTTGGAGAAGGAAGTGCATTTTAGTTCGAGGGATGCTTTCCTCATACTTACTCTTTTCAAGTGCTGCTTCGATAGTTGTATTTTGATAAATGACACCCTCCCCAGCACATGGAGAAAGCGGTTACTGTACAGCCTGAGTACAAACTGTATGTGAGGGTTGGGTGTGGGGACCTGGCCAGCGGCGTACGGCCCGACAAAGCGATCTGCAGCTTTTAGCAGAAGGAGATGAGTCCCTCTGCCTCTGCTCTCCCACTTCCCCGAGTTCCCGTGGACACAGTTGTGCGCTGGGTCTGACTTCCAGCCCCAGGCAAACAAGCAAGGGTGGGTCTGAGGGTGAAACACACCTTTCTAATCGCTGGACCTCTCACTGATTTCCTGTTGAGTAATGTAAAGCCTGAACAATGGAAGAGAAACTCCAGCAGGAAACTATGGGCAATGAATTATCAGATTCCAAATAAATATGGGAGTAAAGGAAATGATCATCCCAGAGTCTTAAGGGAGGGGGTGGCTGGGCTCTGCTTTTTTTTCCAGGGGATGTGAGCTCTCTTCCTATACATTGAGTTATGTTTGAGAGACTCTACCTCCGTCACTCCTGATGGAACAGTGATGACTTTCTTTGCTTACTCCCACCCTGCCATTTTTCAGTGTGACATGCTCTGGTGCTTCCTGTTGATATTGAGAAAATCTTTGGGGGAAGAATCTCCCAACCTGCTTTGCCACTGGCCATGGTGGTCTTGGGCTGGTGGTCTCCTTGCCTGCCTCAGTTTCCCCTTTGGAATGATATTGATCTCCCCCACAGTATATGTATAATTTCAGACTTATTCCCCGAAACTAAGAACATCTCTCTGCTGAAGCCATTCATGGTGGTATCCTTATAACAGCAGAAATCCTGGTTGGCGGTGGAAACCCTCACACCTGAGATGGGATGGCTCCAGGAAGACGCAGCAGCGTCAGGCTGGCCGTGCTGTGCCGGGGGGAATGTTTCCTGTTTGAACCTTGCTGCTGAGTTTTTGTGACATAGTGCAAGAGCAGCATCTGCTTGCCCGTGGTTTTATCTTTTAGCAGTCATTTTAGAAGCAAGAATCGCTATAGCTCAATGGATGTAGAATATTTTTTTTAACAACTTGGGAATTACATATCTGGGTCACACAGAAGACCTTGAGACAAAGTACCGAGGTATCACATAGTCCTGAAAGCTTAGGATTTATGGATTCCGTATCACTCTATATGTGTCTCTTTGGGGCTGTGAAATTTTGAATTCCTGCCTCAGTTTGGTCCTGGCCATAGCGCTCGACATACCTGCCACTCTTCCCCCCAGTTCCTTTCACACTCGGCAGAAGTCTGCAGGGGAATCCTGCTGCGTTGGACCTTGGGTCTGAGGACCTTCTTTGCAGCCAGAGCCACACATCTGTCACTGCGTGGAATCTTGCTGTCCCCACAGGCCCCTTCTTGGGCTTTTTCCCTAGAATATGGTTTCCTGTGCTGCCTGCCAGCTTCCTGGCTCCAGAAGGCAGCTGAGCATTGAGTTTTAGAGGTTTAAAGTCTTTGCACCTTCAGCAGCTAAGGAGCTTATGAAACTTTGTCCACATGGAGAGAGATTAATGTATTTCTTTTCCTTCTCATTTGGAGCTGCAGCTTTTAGATGTAAGGCAAGAAGTGCCTTGTACTGTGGCTTTGAGAAAAAACATTCAGATATTTACAATATTGTCTTCCCCTGCTCCCCCTGCCTCCTTCCTGCCCAGGACCATGCAGTGCCACCCCTGTGCTGTCCTCACGGCTCTTGGTGCACCCGCACTGGGAATTGGAGCAGGGATCTGACCTGGTTTAAAAACCAAAGTGAGCACAACCCACAGCTTGCTTTTTTTTTTTTTTTTTTTTTCTTTCCTGGCCAGGTTACTTTGAAGCTGGATCACTTCCCCAAACCACAGCTTTTAGAAATGGTAGCCAGAGAATCAGATAGAAACTTGCTTTCAACAAAAACCATCAAGTTTGCAGAAAAGCTCCTTAGCTCCAGCCTGCCTAGAGGAGACCTGCTGATAAATGGTTCTCTTTTTGGCCTCGACAGCGTGTAAATGAATCACGAGGACAGATGTCTACAAGAAGACAGGTTAAAAAGGATTTCTGTGCATATTTCAAATGAGAATACCCCAGGATGCTGATCTGTCTCTATGACAACTCGCTGAGAGCTGAGCAGTGCCTTTTGTTGTGCGGGTGACTCTGCCTTTGCCAGCGAGCTTACACCTGGGTGCTCAAAACATTGGCATTGACCAAAGTTCATTGTGAAAACAACCCAAAGTGCATTTGCCTTTGACCACTTAATCATAGAATGGTTTGGGTTGGAAAGGACCTAGAATAGCTTCTGTCCTTGTTTTCTGCACAGTAGACATTCAGCTTTGCAGGTGTGTGCCAAAAGGGAAGAAAAAAGGATAAAAACAGCAAAGATGAGGATGTTACCCAAATGTAAGGGTTGAACTGTTAGTGGGATGGATGCGCTTCCGCTTGCTCCCAGCCTGCGCGCTGTGCTGCTGTCTTGTCATCTGAGCAAGGGTTGCTTTTCCCTCTGGATCTCTGTTGTTTTGAATGAGCTTAAAGATGGTGAAGATTGTGTAGTTCAACCTCTGCACCGTGCTTGAGACCTTACCAATGGTCCTGTCCTGTGGCTGCTGGGAATAAGGAAATAAGGGATCTTTGAGAAGAGCTTTGTTTAATTCAGGTTGGTGGGACTTCTGAAATAACAGAATATTTCTGCTGCAGGGAACATAGGGAAACCAGTACAAAACCCCCAAATATCAGAATGCGTGCAGAATGCCAGCTCCAGAACACCCAGGTGTATGGCGTAGTGGATATATTTACCAGCTCTGTATAGATTTTGAAGCTCTCAGAACTGACTCTGCCTGCTTGATGCAAATGGCTTGGAGAAGTTGACTCAAGCCATTCCCACATGGAAAGCGAGGAGGAAGAAGGACGCTGTACGTGCAGGA